CTACAGAGACGAACCTCACTCGTATGCAGCTGAGTATGGAGCGCAGCAGCAGCAGCAGCAGCAGCAGCAGCAGCAGCAGCCGCTGCAGCAGCAGCAATATGAGCAGCATCGTCAGCACCCAGGGCTGCAGCAGCAGCAGCAGCAGGAGCTGCTCATGCAGCAGACCAATGGACCTGCTGCACCCTGGCATCGGCGGGGGGGAGATGACTATCAGGGGGGCCCCCACAGCAGCAGCAGCATGTATGAATACGGTGCTGCTGCTGCTGCTGCTGCTGGTGGTTCTGGTGCTGCTGCTGCTGGTGGCAACAGTGCTGCTGCTGCTCCTTATGGGGGGCCTGCAGATAGGTACGGCATGCTGCAGCAGCCGCCGCAGCAGCGGCAGCAGCAGCAGCCACGGCAGCAGCAGCAGCAGCCGCAGCAGCGCAGCTGGGAGGATCGGCAGCAGCAGCAGGAGAGGGGCCCCTGGCGGGGCCCAGGGAGACAGAGAGACAGAGACAGAGATAGAGACAGAGACAGAGACAGAGACAGAAGTATAGGGTCGAGGGACAGTGTAGGGTTTGCTGCTAGGGGGCCCCCGCTGCAGCAGCCTGACGGCCGCAGGCGGCAGCAGCAGCAGCAGCAGCAGCAGCAGCAGGACCGCAGCAGCTGGGGGGATGATCCTAGAGCTAATGAAGGGTACTACTGCAACAGCAGCAGCAGCAGCAGAAGCAGGAGAGACAGCAGCCGCAGAGACAGAGACAGAGACAGAGACAGAGACAGGCCGTCAGGGGACGGACCAGCAGCAGCAGCAGCAGCAGCAGCAGATATGCCGAGGCAGTGGCGCGAGCGGTGGAGGGGCAGCAGCAGAGACAGAGACAGAGACAGAGACAGAGACAGAGACAGAGAGAGGGCCCCCAGCTACAACGATGACTCATACTCTTACACAGCTGAGGGTCGGGGGGGCCCCCTCAGCAGCAGCAGCAGCAGCAGCAGCAGCAGGCCGCGCCAGTACCGGGGCAGGGGGGGAGAAGCAGCAGCAGCAGCAGCAGCAGCACAGGAACGCTACAGAAGCGGCAGCAACGAGAGACAGCTGTCTCCTCACTACGGGGGGTTCAGACCCAGGCGGCCCTCGCATGAGCAGCAGCAGCAGCAGCAGCAGCAGCAGCAGCAGCAGCAGCATGGCCCGCCTTTCAGCCGCGGGGGGCACCCGCACCGTCGGGGGGGG